ATAGCGCCTACTTTTGTATATTTAGTGCGTTGAACAAAAGGAAAACCGATTGTTAAAACGAATTGTTCAACAACTTTATACCTACTTGCGAAACCGACTAAGAATGTAGATGGTAATGACCATTTTGTTAAAGTAATTCCAAAGTAAGCAATGTGCGTAAAAATGTCGGAAAGCCTTAAAATGTTTAGAAGAAACGTGTAGAAGAATACATTTTCGTCCAAATGCAGCTATAATTTAGAATATGTTTAGCAACATTTAGTTTTGTTTTTTAGGCTATTCTGTAAGCAATTATGCACATTTTCTTGAGGTCTCACTCAAGCATGGTGGCAGCAACTAACCTTTTAAGATCCTTCAGTTCTTGTTGCTTTATATTCCTTTGTATTATTTATTGGTTGCTTTGCGTTCGTTTTCAACTTAGACACATATTTTCTCGACAAACTGACTTATCATCGTATTAATCGTAATATGTGTGCTGCTGAAAATAAGCCTCCGTTTGCTTCCAGATTCGGTGGAAGTAAACTGTAAAATATGGTTAATGTTTATGTAAGTACCTCTAATTACCACCTCATTTTATAAACTTGAGGAAAAAAATACATACTTTAGAGTGTTTCGATTAAAGGGTTTTCTAAAAGTTATAGCTTAACATCAAGCGATATGTTCATTGCGTTTGCCAATTATTTCATTAAAAAAGAAAATATCGCTAAAACATTTACAAAAACTGCACTTCAAAAATTCATATGCTAGAGAAAGCCATACAACTTTGTCGCCAATAGGCACAGCAACCATTGTAGCGTACTACGTAATAATGCCATTACGTTCCCTTCATTCCCATAGCCCCATACCAGGAAACAGTAAAACATGGAAGCTGGTACAATGACAAAATAATTGAGATTATATCCAAAACTTGCTGATATATTTTACCTTCATAAATAATTCATATTATGTAAATGAACCACGCAAAAAACTTAATCGATTGAGCTATTCGAAGAGATTGATATATTTTTGCGATGTGGTTTGACAGATGATTACAGTCTAAAATGTTAATGTACACGCATACTCGAGCTTCTTGGAGGATCGTTGTCTAGGCAGGTAAGTAAGTATCTTACAGAAGGAAATATGAAATTAATGAAAATAATTAATTAAACTTTTTTAAGATAATAATGACATAATGATCATAATGCTTGACACAGGCATGCACTGGCTGGATGACCATTTTATAAATACTAGTAGAAATCGTGGCAACCAATTGCTACTGAAGTGCTGAAATGCATTTTATTAAACACTACAACGTCAATAAGAGCGCTCTCAGTTGTAGTTGCAACATTTCTTTTAAATACATTACGTAGGCCGGTAAGCCTCAAACTCGATACATTGAATTCGATTAAGCTTATCCCTTAATGCTTTTCCATCCAAAGTTATGAACATCTAAACATGTAAACGTCGTGTCGTGCATTGCGCAAGAGACGCGGATTAGAGGCGTGGATCGTCGTGCGCGCGCAGCCACTAGCGCGGTGGTCCGCCGACGACGACTTCATTGCACCACATTTTAATCTCGCTGATGATTCACTGCATCCTAAAAACTTTGATAGACAGAATACTATTATTAAAGTAATGTAGACATCAAATTACTATTTGTCTTAGATACAAGCTCCGGCAAATTGCGAATAACTTATGGCTCTATCAACGATCGTTTCTTCCTTTTTAATTCAGAAGTTTTTGCTGTTTTAATAACTTAATAATTTGTTCGTGTTCTGTGATTAGTATTTTGCTTAAGTAGGTAATTGGTGTCTTGAACTTTTGTAAAAAAATGTACCGACTTTAGCTGAAAATAATTGGGTATTACCTTAAAAGTAGCACTTAAATACTTTTAAGGTATATTTTCACGTGTTGCCTGACCTACGAGGCTATGGAGTGATAATAATTGTAGTAAATTACATGGCTATTAAATTAAGATGACCAAAAATAGTCAGCTGATTAATATGTTAAGAGCCGCGGTAGGTATATTAAAGAAACAAGGATAACCCAAGAAATGCCGTGACCGACAGATCCTCGGAGCCAATTTAGGAATTCCATCTAATCATTATATTTCATAGAACACGCACAATTTCGGTGAGGTTTTTGTCCGCAGCGTTTCTTTCAATACAAATGGTCAACTTTATTTGAAGTGGTAATAATTAGGGTTACGTAAGAAGTACGTGGAAGGCTCGCTACATGTAATTGGGACCACCCGCGGAGCCCTGGGGCCGCGCTGCCGGCTCGGGGGGTAAAACAATGCATTATGCGAATTTAGAGCGCGCTCTGATTAGATAATGTCGTCATAACCAATAATTGTTTCTTTTGAAACTCGCTCTTCAGTAATTTTCTGCGTTTAGCCTCGTGTCTGACGATTGTATTGTTGTTTTCGCTGCACGACAAGACAATAGCATATAGACTAAATTCTTATGCAAAGTAAACTTGGAATAAGAATAAGATCCTCAATTATCCACAACACATTTTCTACATACTAGATAGTTAATCTAGGTCAGTTTCTGTGTAATAGAACATAACAAAAAAAAGAAATCAGATTTTAAATCGTTTTTGGAAAATGTGGTAATGAGACATACACTAGAATGTAGATTATTTCTAGACTTAATCAGTAAATTAAAAATATTGAAGTCGATACAAATTATTTAGGGTCTTATTTTAATTTAGGTAAAGAGCAAATTGAGAACCAATAGGTATGCTAAGATTCAGAACAGACCGGAAAATTGTCAAATGGAAGTTCGATGTTGGAACTGTCAGTCTGTAAATTGATAATATATGTTTTAAAATGCTATTTCTATACACATTGCCCTTGCAATTAAAATACTGAATGTAATACAAACGTACTATGCAAGTACAATAACCACAAAGCCGCAGGGTGTCCAGCGATGGCGCGCATCACTTCGGTCCGATAATTGACTCGAATCGACATAACCACAAGAAAAAAATATCTACTTGCTTAAAATCTAATTTAAATTGTTATGAGCAAAGCAATGGTACTTTTGAAATATGTATTTAAAATTATTTTATTTATTCATGTAAGTTTTCTTAAAAAAAAAATTTTTGATTTCGTGGGGTTTCCGTTTCTGGATCAAAATTTTATAAACATAACTGGATTTTAACAAATGTTGTATTTTATCCAACTCAACACTAAACCGAAATGCTGCATGACGACCAGTTAACCACGTTATAGTTGCTTCTAATTAGCTTGTCCGGAAAATTGAACGCGAAATGATAAAATAAAATAAAATTGCACCAGGTTGCTTCATTCCACATTTTCACACGGTCTCCAAATGAGCGGACGTATCATCTCAGGATATACGCTCTAGGGTCGAGTGCTAATCCAGGAGTACCCCTCAACAGTCCCTGAGTTAAGTGGTCCCGCTCCCAAGTGCCCGTACGTGATCTCCAGCCAGGAACATATTCGCAAACCATGGGAACGGAAGCGCTGAGTTGCATAACACTGCTGGAGGCATGCAAAAAATCTTTTCCGGTACTTATTTCAATTTTTTGGTACTTTTGGATTCAATGATGTGTTTTTTTGACATTCTGTGTTCTTGTGTTGGTGTGTTTTTGATGAATAGTCACGTTTGTGTTTTTCAGATTAAGAATAGGGATGTATACAAACACATTATATAAAAAGTATTTCCGCTTTTGGTCAATTATGTTATTTATGACCCTAAGTACTTCATAGGATTGAGAGCTTGTCGCCATAAACGAGGTTTGGATAAGTACACAAGTTACACAATATGAGGATTAACGTAATTTTGTTATTTTTATATTTAGTTTGTATTTCCCTTTGGCGGTGTGTAGAGTTGTAACTTCGTAGTGCTCATATCGCTTATACCACGGAGTGCTCTGAGGAATTCTTTGGTTTGATACCTGCCAAGTCTTTTCGCCATCGATCCAGACGACAGCAGTTCCATCCCTATTATATTGTTGGCAAGCTACAACTGTGCGCTTTTTCCGAAGTTTTCTGCCTTATAGAGCAAAACTGTGTAATGATCTATCGTTGCCGGTATTTGCGAACCGATACGACCTTCAAGAAAAGAGCGTATACCTTTTTAAAAGGCCGGTAACGCACCTGTACCTTCTCTGGAGTTGCGGGTGTCCATGGGCGGCGCTGATCGCTTACCATTTCGCTTACCATTTCGCTTACCATTTCGCTTACCATTTCGCTATTCCATAAAAAATTGCACCGTTGCACTAATAGTGGTTAAGTGTAGAATAGTCTGCTTAGTACTTATGTTTTTTCCTTTGGTATTGATATGGATGAAAATTCATTGTCTAACTTTGATAAAGTATTTATTAGCCCTTTTTTTCTTTTTAATCTTTATTACAAAAAAAGCTTTAATCGCGATTTGATAAATAATTAGTGAAAATAACTGACAAAAATAATTAATAGCGTTTATTGGCCATCTGGGTATTTTTCTTTACCTATTGATATCGATGCGGACAAAATTTCTGATGCTCTCTATATATACATATAGTAATATTTAGTTTTTTTTTATCGAAATGTCTCCAAGTTTTAGTTTGTTTTAAGTCGTACATAGTTTTTTTTATTTTTATATATCATGTAAATATGGAGTTTCTTGCTCGTTCTTATCCATGGGATAAGGTGTAGATCACCTTGGAAGGAGCAAATAGCTTCACTTTTATATTTTTTGTTGACGTTCAAAAGTGCCGGTCTAATTGAAATAAATAATTTTGACTTGGACTTTGACTTGGAAATAGGTAGGTACTAAAAATAAAGACTTTTTTACAACTACAAATGTATGTGGCAGTTCACTGCTGGATATGAGGGTTTCTCCGAAGTATCAAACCAAGGATTCAGGAAATGTCTTTTGGTCACTAATATAAATTTTCAGGGAGTTTCTTTACAAAATAAAATAAGCAAGTTTAGAAAACAGAAAATTTATTGCAATTTTGTAAAATAAATACAATTAAAATCCTTAAAATAATTGTACAAAACGAAACAAAATACAACAATTCTTATTGTGCTAAAATTCTAATTAATTCAATAAATTATTCGCTTTTTTATCCTAAAATACTTTGTACGAACTTTTCTATATTTCTAAAACAATTCAATGACATTAAAACTAAAATTAAAAACTAAAGCTATTTACAATTCTTGTACTAGGCTAATAATCTCACTTTGGTAAACTGTGGTTAATGAGTTACTTCTCTTACATTTAGTACTACATAATGATCTACTTATCCTATATAATAACTGGAAAATTTGCATTAAAAAGCTTAAATTTTGAACTCGATACAATGTAAGCAATTTGCAGAAGTTACAATTCGTGCAATGGCTAAAATAATTTGAATTTAAAATTCGAAATGATATAAAAATGGAGCGCACTTAACACACAGATATTCACACACACACACACACACACACATCTATATCAAGCTAATGAACACATTAAATGTAATTAAATTGAGGTATAATCTATACTGTATTGATTTAATAACTAATGAATTACCTTTAAAATTTAGTTCGTGATCTTTCAGTAATTGAATGAAATAGAGGTTTTCGTTTATGTAAGGAAAACTTGAAGAGCTTTGAATAATCTTTCTTAGATATAAAAGCAATAGTCTAACAATATATGATTTCAATAAGGAGATGCTATAAGTCTGGTACAGTAAAGATGAAAATTAAAACCACAAATAAAGAAAATTGCCGAGTCATACGGAGCGAATTTACACTTCAAAATTACACAAATTGTAACAACAAATATTACGAGGTGTCAAACGTTTACACTAACAATACTTATAAGTGTCGATGATACAATTTACTTAGTAAGTCACAAAGTAAAAAACAACATCAATTGGTATTCTGCGCGTAACTGTTGCATTAAACATTAGACATGATTCGGGCGACGAGACATTAGTTCACCGTCGCTTGCTCGTTGCATACAAAACGTACAAAGACTACATGACACTTGTATGAAAAGATATATGGTCATGACGTCATTCCTGTCCTTCAGTGCAAAACTGCCTTAAATGTATCGCATGTAATCTATGCAAACTGCGCACTTAATGTTCGATCGTACAGATGTCGTATGCGCATGTCGTTAAAGATACGTATCTGACTGTTGTATGAGTACCAAGGATGTGCATGGGATTTTAATACTTATTGTCTTTGTGGTTGTATAACAGGCCCAAGAACCTAACGAACAAGGTTCTGTGCATAAACGTCACAGTTTTCAGGGGGTATCGTGTAACTACGGAGGTTTATAACTTCAACAATGGAGCAAAGAATAAAATAAGGCTCGATGTATGAAACAAGAGCTAAAAGAATTTTTGTAAGAGTTAAATCAAACACTTAAGTTGCTAGATGATAAAAACGTGAATGAATATGGAAATCCAAAGATCTAACTCGTATACTTATTCAAATGGATACCAACAAAATAACAAAGGCAACACATACGAACATTATTTCACAGATTTACTGTGTCAAAGGCGTAACAAAAGTATTTCATTCATGTTATTCTGATTTGATCTCGTGGTCGTGGTACCAGTTCCGTGGACCGGTTGCCCTCTTCATTACCGTACTGAATTACTAAGAAACGGACGCACAATACAGACCTACGCATATTCGTAGTCGTACGTTTACGTCGCCACTACTTTACGAGCCCAACGTACGCTCGCAACATTTCAAATGAGATGCTTCGAAAAAATCCACCTTTGCGGTACGATATCTCAATCACGCGCAATGTAGGAATTGTCTTTCGAAAAATGCTTTGGAATGTGAATTGTATCTGATTTCAATAATAAGCATTTGAAGATGTTACTATGTAACCTCACAATTTGTTTTGCCGGATTCTAATGGTAGCAAAGATACAACAAGATAACTCAGAGACCCAGGTTAAACAACAAATACAAACTTTCTCAAGTAAATTTCCTTTTGATATAAAACTGGAAAGCGGAACTTAACTACATAGTCTGAGTTCCTCCATAAAGTGGTTTAATTTCAGTCAACAATTTTCATAAATGTTCTCAGTCGAATCGCTGGCAACGGGAACGACTCCGAATATATACATCACTTGAGCTAGTTCTCTGTGAACCGAGCAGCTACAACGAGTACAACACACTCAATCATTCCTGACATTACACCGCTAATTGATGACAAATCTAAATATAAAGAACACACATTCATCTCGAAGGCAACAAACATATTAAAAAATAAAACATTTCAAACGGATGTCAAAGAAAAGATTCAAAAGATGTTCAGAAAAAATTCTGGCATCCCATGACGCATATTTGTAAAACGTTAACCGACGCCCTACATCACTTGGAACGATTAGTGCCGTGCACCGGATTTAGCCACGGCTATGTCATTAGACCAGCCACTTCCCTAATTCCTACACATCTCTTACACGACTGCACCCACACCATCCCTCTTACACCAACCGACAAAGAGAGGGATAGAAAAATATATTTGACGTAAATATGTGAGGATGATGGTGTTACCGGAACACTCGTTAGATCAATCGACGTGCGGCGCTACATCGGGAACGGTCCAGCATTTGTCACCGGACCACCGGCGCCGCCGTATTTATAGCGACGCCTGCGCAACCCGTGGGCGGCGACACATCCACTCTCATATTAAGACAATAGTTAAAATATAAACAACAATCTACATAATTACCCTTGATTCCCTCACGATAGCCTTACCTTAACTAATACTGTTTTTACATTATTTACACTACCTATGGTTATTGTACTTCAATTTAACGCCTACTTAGCCAATATTACGTTTATCTAAAAACACTACACAATTCTTCACTCGAATAGTCTCTTCTATGGCAGTGTCCTTATGACAATGTCCGTTACTGTACACTTTAAACTATTGGTTATTTCCGTTGAGATGGTATCACGTGATGAAGCTGTTACTGCATACGGATATCAACGCTATGAGCCCGGATATTCGGACTAAATTCGCTGCACTGACCACTGGCACTTCTTCGACGGGGAGTTTTTTCTGTTTTTCCCCGTGACTGTTGTGGTTCTTTGTGTGGTTCTTCATCTTGTGGTAGCATAGCCTTGCTAGGTTGTTCTGCATTCTCGGGCAGTCGTAGTCATTGCCGTCACATTGGCACGCTGTTAGCGCTGCAGCTTTCTCCTGTTTTCTTAGGATTTCTATGGAGTTAAGGCATTTGTTTGAGCACTTTCTGCCTCTGAACATGGAGCGGCATAGTCTGTGGTAGTATTGCAAGGCAGTGGCACACTGAGCATCAGCCAGGCAGATGAGCTGCGACAGGCTGCAGGAGGAGGTGGCGTTGGCTGCTCCCTTCATCACCTGTGGTCTACAGATGTCAATGCGCTGCTTCGCCTCCAAGCAATACTCGTCCTCACATTCACACTGCAACAAAGAAAGAAATTCTAATTAGTTCAAGTTGATTACTGTGAAAATGGTCGAGGGGGCTTAAATACTTAATTTTTTTAATTGATTAAAAATAATATATCCAACCAAAAATGTAGAGGTACAACGTAAGTCAGAAAATGAATAAATACTCTGTGGTACAATCAATCTATTTACAAAGAAAGCTACCAATTCTATTAAATATTTACACAGGTATATATTGGACATAAATGCATAACTTCCAACTACAACCATGCACAAACGGCCTCCAAAAAAAAACACGTTACGTCGAAAGAAAATCTATTAATAATTCAATGTAATAAAGTTTTAGGGAAACTCGTAAATCGTAGCGGTCCATGGCGCATAATAATAACGTTGTACGAACGTAAAATACATTTTACGACACCAAACATTCCGGAATCTATCCGCTATCACAACACACTGTGATTTGTGAAATTTATAACACGACACGGCTTACATTCTACATTAATGTTAAATAGGCGTCCATTATCCCAGCTTACTAACTTACTGAATAACTTATTGAATTATTTCCAAGGCCTTACAATAAATGGCGATACATTTAAACAGCCAACATTTACATGAAAACCAAAGGATCACGAATCACATAAGAATGCAGTCATGAATAACTAAAACCGTATAAAATCGTCGTCTTACTCGAAGACAAACGACCTCGAAAATTGGCAGTTGCTTCGTTAAGATGCAACCATCGGCCACGCTCTCAAATTTAAGGTCAATTTACCGGATATCTAGCGCGGATTAATGAAGACACGGCCGCCCGTCTTACGCTTAGTTTTTGTGAGAGCGCAGCAACACCTGCGCAAGAGTCGACGCTGCGGTAGGTCCCGATCAAGACGTCAAATCTCAAGGCTGAACGCGGCCGCTCCTTTGCTCTGCCTTTCGATGTATATTGCCCAACGTAGTACTCGTAATCACACTCCCTACTACGATATAATTAAAGGTTCGACCGGTTTGTTGAAACTGTTGCTTATCTATGCACAATGTACCATGATGTAAATATGAACGACAAAACCACACAACGACACCTGCTTTGCGTATATATGTAGCAATAAAACGTAATGCTTATTTAATACGATAGTACGAAAGTGTTCGTTTGGAAAAAGTGAATATATTCGAGTATGGTGTAATGTTTTGTGTAATTTAGTGCAAGGAAACACCTGCGCTACAGGGGGTCCACGCTGTCAGATACGAAGGCTTTTTATTGATTCAAATGCGAATAATGTTACTATTTTACTTCTTCATTACTTCGTTGTAGTGTTTGGAACACACTGTATCTCCAATTGACTATAAAAACAATATAGTAAAAATTACAATTACTTTCTAACACTAGGTAGTTTAATATTCTTATACATTTACATGCGATTATTTCAAAATACGGTTTCATTTAAATAGTAACATGTATAAACTAAATAACTAACTACTCACTTGCAAAGCAAATAACTCATATTTACAATGATTTCAATTTAAACACAAAACAACTAATACAATAACAACTTAATGCAATTATTACACGACACAAACTAACAATGAACATACGAATGATTAATTATTTCCATTTATTTGTATAAGTATAGTGCAAACAAACTATACAAACCACTTGTAACTAAAAGTACAGATAATTTACTACTGACGGCTCGATTACTTGAAAATCGTTTTATTGCTAGCTAAATAAGATAAGATTAAGACACCTAATAAAATTATCTAGTTAATTGTATGGGTTTAAGTGCCGTGCAGATACTAAAAGTATGTCAGTGGAATAAACAGTACCTACCTAATCTAAGAATATGAAATTGCACCTGTTTTGTGCTAAGAGGGGTATATATATTATATTCTACTAGCTGACCCGGCAAACGTTGTTTTGCTATAAATCATATTTCATTTTACTTTACATAAAGATATTTTTGTAACTCTTTGGCAAGTGGAATAAAAGAAGGAGCGGAATAACAAGCGTTGCTAAAATTCAATTGGAGATTTCAAGTCCTATATTTAGTACACATTTCCAGACATTATTTCGATACAGTGCATTCTCCTTACAGAAATATCCTATCTGCAAGCCGACTGCTGGTTACAAGTGCATTAGCACCACTTGAGGCCACATGTAACAGGAATATGTTAATTGAATTATCAAAATTATGCACTAAATATACCCATACAAAGCATACACGTTAATAGAAGTAAGTGGACAAAAACTAAATATGTGTAATATTTTTATTAATTTATGAACGACTAGCTTCTGCCAGCGGCTTAGCCCGCGTTCCTGTACCTCACAAGTACAAAGTATCCTATGTGTTATTCTAGACCATAATCTACCCTTGTTCCAAATTTCATCTCGATCCCTTCAGCTGTTTTGACGTGAAAGAGTAACAAACACACGCATACATCCTCACAAACTTTCACATTTATAATATTATTAGTAGGATTTTACAACAAACGGACAAAATCAAAATTTTCAGGAAATTTGCAACAAGGCTATCAAACAAAACAATTCAAGAGCAAACTTCAATTCTTGAAAATAAATCTTGGCAATGAATCCATAACAAAATGCTTTTAAGAACATAACCTAACCAATAAGGTTACAAAACATAACCTAACCTTTACCACCACTTTTCTGCCACCGGCAACCACGAAACGTTTCACACGTCCAGTATACAAACATTCAATAAAGCTTGTGGAAACAATAATAAAGCCAAAAGTACACTAACTCTGTATATCACGTGGCCCCTGCACGTGATCAGATCGCCAACATTCTTTGCACATTTCTCCCCAATTTAGATTCATGAAATCTTTATAGCCCGCAAATGAACGCTGGACGCAAAAATGGCGCCAAAGCATTCAAAATGGCGATCAACGCCGAATCGGTTTTCAGAATCTCAATTTTAGAATGATATTTTAAATATTTTTGTTAATCTGTCTACTAACACTGTCTACTTACCTACTAACAATAATTTGAATTTAAGCTTTGGTTATTTTCTGAACCTTCATTTCAATAAATCTCATTTCTTAAAATATGAATGTTCCTTCGATATTATTTTATTGTGCATTTAAAACGGCTGTTCACTGCGCAAATAACACTTCAATTAGGTATGTAATAATATCGCCATTCGAACATATTTAGCTACACACTTTTCCTTTCATGTCCAAGACCATGAAATTTCAAACGCCTGAATATTTGTTTGACAACAGTCGTAGGCTAGCGCTTGGAATTAAAACTCGGTCCAGTGCGACGTGCTAGGTACCAAGTTAGTTCACGAACGAGGTCGTCAACCGCGACCCTCGACGTTCCTTCGTGTCGGACAAATCTGCCCACAACGTCTAAATTAGATTTTATTGCGGGGCGTCTGCTACATGCACCTATACAGAACCAAGTAAGCAAGACCTTTACAACTCCCAGTCACATAACTAACAACAGTTCATAACTTACTGGTCGTATCCCCAATTGAGTGAGGCGTAAGCTGTAAACAGCTGTTACGAGAGTAATTGTGACAAGTCTCAACTCTGAACAATCAATCTGAATAGATTCATACTGCAGTTTATAAATAGGCGATGACTGCAGTACGAATGTTTGATAAATGTTTATTCGCATTCAACTTAGGAGACCGTTGGACGTTGAAAATAAAGTGCTACTAACTGATTATTTTACAGCAACGTCCAGCTTTAAACGAAAAGTAACTGTTCTACAGTTATTGCAGTATAACATTATATTTATGATATAAAGTTGTATTACGTACTTCACTTTCTAATAGAATTTCATTGCAAGGCGTGAATGAAGATATTTGAAACAATGGCCTATTACTAGAGCCAGTGAATGAAGCTATCGTGTCCGGTACATTCAAGAATATAAGCTGAACATGTTATGTTAAAAGATAAGAATCATGCGCAGTACTCGCTTAGATTTCCTCGTGATTGATATTAAGATATTTTGAAGCCTTAATGCAAATGCATTTTTAGATTTCATAACGTAAGTTGGGACTGTTTAAATTACCTTTAGGAAATATTTTTTCAGGGACCAAGAATAATTAATGATTATGTTTTTGTTTTACACGTTATGAATGTCCATTAATAGACATAAGTAGATCTAATTGTTTAGCTCACATCGCAATTCTATCTCCATTAGCAGAGTCTACCGTCAGACAGCTTACTGAAACTATCTGTTATGGGTGAAAGGGGCTCATAACTCCATACTCTTTATGATCGAGCTTATAATAATGTCTGTTTACATCCGTTCAACTGCTGACTAGTCACTACATTATCGTAAAATCTTTCAACACTAATATTGGACATCCGCCAAAGAATTGTTACAATCTCGCGGTTATATTTTCTGTCTTAAATATTAAATTAAATTTATGACACAATTATTTCAACGAGGCATTAATTTAATAGCCTGCGCTAACATTGTAGAAAAATGTCTATAAAATATCTTATTATGAGCTCAAATTGTAAAGAATTCGCGTTTCGGATTAGAAATAAATGAGTTGTCATCAATTTAGACGGTGACTAATTTCGCTCCTTCTAATCTGCGGATTATTACCTACTAGCATTCTATGTTATTTTTACTATAATTAAGACGCCATTTTAGACACGCTACAGGGGAATAAAATGTTCTAAAACTACGACCAACTGCAATTACTAGATCTAAATAAAGTCGTCTACCAAGTGTTAGAATTAAAGCAAATGGTCTTTTTCAGCAGTAGAGTTTCGAATGATGATAATAATGGAGAAAGATATACTTACATTTGACAGATTGGAAATAATAGATGGAATTGCTAGCATAAAGTAATTTCAACAAAATGTATCAGAACTTACATTCATCAACTCCTTCCCTTCTTCAGTGGACGTCAACGCAATTAAAGCGTTGCCACACTCCCTGGGGCACGTTGACGAGGCAGTGGGCTCAGAGAGCACATCTTCGCACATCATCATGTAGTTGCCAAGCGCGGCGCCGCAGCCGGTGCGGTAGGCACAGCGCGTGCGTGCCTCATTGCACGACATCGCGCCACCGACCGCTGCGCACGCGGCCAGCAACGCCGCCACTAGCCACATCACCTGCAAAAATAAAGCATGGCGTTAGATGACTTCTATTGAAGATAACTGCAATTGGTAAACACAATCAGGTATGTAAGTCATTTTTGGTGAAGAGTCTAAAGTTTTAGCTAGTTATGATGTCCCTAAGAATTCAGATCGCCTCTAAACCTTAGAAAACAAGGTTGTATTTGCCTTTTAGTCTGATTCTTAAACGACTTTACTAAGTATCGCTCTTCTTATTGTTTATGCAGATAATATTTTAACTTCGAGTCTTACAATCACTTGAACGAATAAGATAATACGTGTAACATCCTAGGAACAAGCTCATGTGTAACTCCAGCGTGAAAATCGACCGTAATTTTCCGCATAATTAACACCGTTTTAACTCAAAACGTTACTCAAAATACCTAACTGTAAAATCGTAGACACTTCGAAAAAAAAACAGTTACGAAAGTTCATAATTGAGCAAAAGCAAGCTGCTCTTGACTGAACAAGAAACAAAAACAAAGCGACTCGAGTCGCAGTTGAAATGCAAATCCCGTTTTACAAAGCATTATTGACTACAATGTAAAGATAATGAAGCCGTTTCCGACATGGTGTTAACGTTTATACTTCTCTCGGTTTCTCTCGGGAACAGTCGGCATCTCTCGCGATCTCTCGGTAACTCTGGGCAACTCTCGCGCTTAAGACATTTTCTTGGAAGACGGCGCGCTCCGTAAACAAACAGAATCACGTCACGTCCACTCGTCACTCGCTACTAACTTACACGTTTACCGTAACATTGAGATAGGGTTGCCTTATACTTTATGATCTAGTTTAAAAAAATATTCCTGTAAGATCATAATGAGATTTACGCACAAAGCTTAAGCCACGTTCATATTCTAGGTAAGAAATTAATTATGTTACGACAAAATATAAAAATTAAGGATCTTAATCTCCTTCAGAGGCATTGAGTAAAAATTGAATTCTAGGTTACTTAGAAAACAATAAAATAAATGTACTTCCAGAAAACTGCTCTAAAAACTCTTCGACAACCCTAATACTGAGACAAGAGTGTAAGGTCGTCGCCCGGCGAAGAGACCCCGATGCAAAAAGAAAACAAACTGACAACTTAAGATGTCCACCTTCTCGGAGCAGGAGCGAGTGTAACATTACAATAACAATTGTTACCTGCGTTAAATCATAACCCTTACGCCTATACAAATAAAGACTACAGCACAGTAGCCACGGATAAACAGAGTTAGCTACGTGAGCTGTTTGCTTTAGTAATTCAATTACATAATAGAATTACAATCAAGTCCAATATTTGTCTTGAACTTAGCGTTAATTTTTTAAGAGCCAAGGCATGTGACTAGCTAAGATTTAAAAAATAAACTCTTACTTATAATTCTTTGAATCAAAAGTAATGCATCATCACGGATGTGGGTACAATTTATCCACGACTTTTAGTTTTCGAGTGACACTATTTCATTGTGTAAATGTTTATGCAACACCTCGAACCCGCTTGGCCGGCCAAAGAGACCAGAATGGAAGTGTCATTGCCGCAACACTATCATTATAGCACATGATTCGTGCAGTTAAAACTGGAAAGCGCATTCCAAAACACAGGTCAATTCTAGGTAAGAGATTGTGTACGTGAGATGACAAGAGCTAATGGACTCAGGACTGGACAGGTCGCGATAAAATCAAACGTCAATATTACACAAACGGAGTCGTGAAACTCGTGTTCGTGACGGCTAACCCAACACAATGTCTTTGGCACCAAACTCGGAGCCGACGTGGTAAACTAAACATTATCTAAATCGAAATCCGGGAAAGGCATCGCTGCGACATTTCTGGAGTCGTAATCCAAACGGCGAGCTGTTAGCAGGCAGGTGTGAAAAGCGCATAGTAATTGCTCACATCACACACAGTAAATAAACTTACTCAGGCTGGCAATACACGTGAAAAATGTTCCACTACACACACTTCAATTTGAAGTACATGTTCTGATAAAACGTGTGACGCCTAATGTTCTAATTGCTTGCGAAAACATGGACACCACAAATAGGATAATTCAATAAATAAGATCACATGACATAGATGTCATGGCTTAGATAGCCAAGATGAAACCCAAAGAGGATTAAACAAAAAAAAATTTATATGGTGAAGGCTACATCCATTATAATGTCATTTAAAATTCTCAAAACAAACATAAATTAGAGTACAGAAAGCACTAAGTTACGTTTAGCATAAACGCAGCGTGATGTAGTGCGGTGGTTGCGCGCGCGCCGCTCTAACCAGAAACACAAACAAGTCGTGTTCCCGCGCAGCTCATTATTGCATGTCGTTAGGCGCCAACTATGAGGACAAATAGCTACTGAACATGTTCACAGACCATACTGCATGCTTTTGAAATAAGAATTTTTATTAGAAATTCCATCAAAAGGGGCTATGTTTTACAAGACCTTTCACGTTCTTTGTGTAGAAAATAGAGTACCTATATCTTCAGGCTAAGTCCCTATTTCTTATTGTAGCATTAAGTACTGAACCCTAAGTTCTAACTTAGGTACACAAACAAGCGCTTGTCCTGCCATGTTGACTCAGTGAATATTAACACCATCTTAAACCCACTCTCCACGAACATTTTTGATAATATCTCCTACAACTCAAATCGCTATAAAATAGTTTAATCACGTTTAACGACAAAAATGACAACTTGAGGTGCGTTATTAAAATCATTTGCAACTTGAATGATAATGGTACAACCAGTTTTCCATGAAGTAGACCCGTAATGACCGAGTGAGGGCATTCCACGGTTATTTCCTCTTGTTTCAAGCAACGGGTTTAAGTTTAACGGTGTAAAGTACATTTTGATTTATTATCTGTATATCTAAACTAATGGTGCGGCTTTATTCCTGTGCACCAATGTCTACAGTGCTGATTTACGATGGCCGTTTTTATGGACTCCATGGCTATAGAGACGTTTCACGACACATAATGTTCGATTATAAATGGTGGCATAAAGCCGCTTTCTAAAATTTGTGCACCTGCCTGCATTGACATACTATTCATGCTATAGTATTGTCCAATATTTGTTATAGATGGTATAGGCATGATTTATACAGAAGTCTTAGTGTGATCATAAAATAGAAATTAAATATTAACACTTTTTAAGCTTTCTGTCCTTTTTATATGCTTTGAACACATGTTTAAATTCATCATTCGTCTTAGTCTTAATTGCAACATTCCAATCATAAAGTGGAACGATTTAATGCCATCTTTTAACAGCCATTATTTCTTAATGATCGTACTGATTGAACATGTTCCATTAAAGACGAAGATTTTCCGCAGAAGTAAAGCAAACGCATAAGTACGTATTGCATATGTAGGTGATATAAATGTAATTTTGATGACGCAGTAACATTATCTTAGATACTTTTATCATGCGACGGATCTGTTGTTTGAACTAGGTAAAGTTTTTATAAAAGTTCAAACATGTAGATACTGAAATGTATATACGTCAGATGTCATCTTTCACGAGTTTAGTCTAAATCAGGAAAGGTATGGCCAAGTATAGAGTAAAACATCGTGACCAAACAGAGGTTAAGAAGCAAAGGTCTGGTGTCGACACTCCTGAACTTCACGACCACATAAGCAACAAGAGATCTGATCAAACAAATTAATTAAAATACTAGTAAATAAATCTTAACATTCCACAAGATCGTAAAGCTGTATACACTTCAAAACAATAATTCTTGGTTTCGCTTTAATTAAAATGTAATTATAGCAAGTTGTAAATTACGAATAACTTTATGAGCACATTATTACGTCAATGTTTACGAGTACATAAAGCAATTCAGTGCAAAGTCCTTTACGACCAATTTATTAGCATAAACAACATTCATTCAACACTTCGCTATCATTTTATAGTCCCATTAATACAAAATCACAACTAAACACATATTACGCAACGTAAATGAACTAATTACAAGAAAACAAGTGATTTAGATACGTTATCACTTGTTTCTTAACGGCCAATATAAAGAGACCTCTTAATTGAACCGCGAAAAATTATCTCAAGATGAATATTAGGACATTTGATGTTTCAATTTACACTGGGATATGGTGCAATTGCAGATAAGTTATGATTCTTTTTTAAACGAAAAATTATTTCCTGCAGGTCCAGATTTGTCATTGGTTGAAATTTTATCGGATCAGGGCCAGATTGTGCATTTTAAGAATAACATTTGCGTTCTGTTATAAACCTTATTACAAAGCGGTAAAGCCTAAGTCAGCCTTTACAAATATAAAGTACATTTCCATCGCACTTTGCTGATACTGCATTTCCGTCTAATGCATGGAATTAATATAATGAAATAAAAATCAGTTAGATTCTGGACGCCGTCACACTATCTATTGTGCTCTGAGTAATCTGAGTATTAAGAGAGACATTATAGAGACATTTCTTCAAGTTTACACTAAAACTATATGTGGTTGTGGTAAACATATTAAAGTGGTTCCGTAGAACATTGTCTTTTATTCTAAAAAAGGACAAACGGGGTCGGCCTACTAACAATTTGGTGTCAGAAGTGGGATTGTCAGAGACGAAGTCTTACGACGTTGAGTCAAATAGACGCTGACATCCTAAACCTACAGCCATCACCCGTATAATTGATCGACAGTAAGACTTGACCCAAGATCAAGCCTGCGTCACTACTTGGACGACGGTCAGCCTCAGCTCTTCAGCCTGAGCCCGCTCCAGCCACATCAATATTTGGACGACGGTCAGCCTCAGCTCTTTAGCTTGAGCCCGCTCCAGCCACATCGACACTTGGAAGACATACGGCCTCCACGGTGTAGTGTGAGTCCGCTCTAGACGGCATCAACGACATCATAAACTCCAGGTCTAACTCATCAACCATCAAATTCAAGAAATTCCACAGTCAATCAACCGAGTGACTGCCCAACTTACGACTGCAACGTGCCAGCGCCACGTGACTCCGGACTTCGGGTTTCTACTGCGCACCCGATGATGCAGG